GTAACTGCCCCCTGTGGGATTAGCGTCTCGGATTAGCCAGGCGAGGTTTTGCCTATTCATTTGTCATGCAAGCTGAGGGGAAACTTGTGGGTGGATTATAAGCCACTGATTTTGGTGGCTGTATAGATCGATAAGAAATGCTTCCATATTACACTAACATAACAACAATATTATGAAATGACAAATGATTATGTCACAATGCGGTCCATTAAATGATAATGTCACAATGCAGCACATCAAATGATTATATCACAGCCCATCGAATGATTATGTCACAATACAGCCCACAAAATGATTAGATCACAGCCCATCGAATGATTATGTCACATTGCAGCCCATCAAATGAATATATCACAATGCAGCCAATCAAATGATTATGTCACAATACAGCCCATCAAATCATTATATCACAATTCAGCCCATCAAATGATTATATCACAATGCAGCCCATCAAATGATTATGTCACAATGCATCCCACCAAATGATTATGTCACAGTGCAGCCCACCAAATGATTAGATCACAATGCATCCCACCACATGATTATGTCACAGTGCAGCCCACCAAATGATTAGATCACAATGCATCCCACCAAATGATTATGTCACAGTGCAGCCCACCAAATGATTAGATCACAATGCATCCCACCAAATGATTATGTCACAGTGCAGCCCACCAAATGATTACATCACAATGCATCCCACCACATGATTATGTCACAGTGCAGCCCACCAAATGATTAGATCACAATTGATCCCACCAAATGATTAGATCACAATGCAGCCCGCTTGATAGATTTTGAGGGACATCAAGACAGAAGTGCTGCAAGGGGCATGCTTTAAGACAGTGATTCTCAACCTTCCTACTTCCGCAGCGCTTGAATACATTTTCTCATGTTGTGATGACCCTTAACCATAAAAAAAAATGCATTGCTAATTCATAACTAAGTGTTTTCCGATGGTCTTAGACGGCTCCTTTGATCCCCAAGAGGTTGTGATCCACAGGTTGAGAACCGCTGCTTTAAGAAGACGACTTTCACACTGGTTAACACCCCACTGTTACCATCCATTAGCGGCCCTCTGGCTGTATGGTTAGCACCCCATGACAACACAGATTAGCGCCCTACTGACAACATTGGTTAGACAACAACCCCAAAGCCCCTCAGACAACAATGATTTGTTGGCAGTTGGGACAACATTGATACGACAACAATGGTGTGTTGGCAGCTGTGACAACATTGATACGACAACAATAGTGTGTTGGCAGCAGCGACAACATTGATCCGACCACAATGTTGTGTTGGCAGTTGTGACAAAATTGATCTGACAACAATGGTGTGTTGGCAGTTGTGACAACATTGATCCGACAACAATGGTGTGTTGGCAGTTGTGACAACATTGATCCGACAACAATGGTGTGTGTGGGCAGCTGTTACAACATTGATCCGACAACAATGTTGTGTTGGCACTTCTGAGTCTTGTGCTCAACATGGGATGAATCAGGCGTGGAGCCAACAATCCCAGCAAAGTACTTTGCAGCAGTCTTGTGCTCAACATGGGATGAATCGGGCGTGGAGCCAACAATCCCAGCAAAGTACTTTGCAGCAGTCTTGTGCTCAACATGGGATGAATCGGGCGTGGAGCCAACAATCCCAGCAAAGTACTTTGCAGCAGTCTTGTGCTCAACATGGGATGAATCGGGCGTGGAGCCAACAATCCCAGCAAAGTACTTTGCAGCAGTCTTGTGCTCAACATGGGATGAATCGGGCGTGGAGCCAACAATCCCAGCAAAGTACTTTGCAGCAGTCTTGTGCTCAACATGGGATGAATCGGGCGTGGAGCCAACAATCCCAGCAAAGTACTTTGCAGCAGTCTTGTGCTCAACATGGGATGAATCGGGCGTGGAGCCAACAATCCCAGCAAAGTACTTTGCCGCAGTCTTGTGCTCAACATGGGATGAATCGGGCGTGGAGCCAACAATCCCAGCAAAGTACTTTGCAGCAGTCTTGTGCTCCCGCAAGTGCTGCTCTATAGGTGAAGATCAAGTCGGCAATAAAATGGTTTTCGGAATCAGCACTGAGATGATGAGCTTGAAGTCTTTTTCCCATTTGCTTGTGACTCTATAACGATTCCAAAGAGACAACAGCTCTATGACTCCCAGGAAATTCCCATGGAATTGTTCACCATTATGCTGGGACTGACAAGCAAAGCAAGCCCCCGTTCACCATTATGCTGGGACTGACACGCAAAGCAAGCCCCAGTTCACCATTATGCTGGGACTGACAAGCAAAGCAAGCCCCCGTTCACCATTATGCTGGGACTGACACGCAAAGCAAGCCCCCGTTCACCATTATGCTGGGACTGACAAGCAAAGCAAGCCCCCGTTCACCATTATGCTGGGACTGACACGCAAAGCAAGCCCCCGTTCACCATTATGCTGGGACTGACACGCAAAGCAAGCCCCCGTTCACCATTATGCTGGGACTGACACGCAAAGCAAGCCCCCGTTCACCATTATGCTGGGACTGACACGCAAAGCAAGCCCCCGTTCACCATTATGCTGGGACTGACACGCAAAGCAAGCCCCCGTTCACCAAGAAGAGTACAACATCATTGATGCGTTTCATAGTACCACTTGACATATTCTATTTCATAATGTTTTACCACTTGACAGATTCTGTTTCATAATGTTCTACCACTTGACAGATTCTGTTTCATAATGTTTTACCCCTTGACTTGATTCTGCTTCATAATGTTTTACCCCTTGACAGATTCTGTTTCATAATTTTGTACCCTAGACATATTCTGTTTCATAATGTTTTACCCTTTGACAGATTCTGTTTCATAATGTTGTCACAGGGACAATTTACCAGCTGCACCCCCTCCCCCCAGGCCTGATCTTATATATATGTCTTTCATTTGGATCCTTGTTAGGTCTTGAAATGTATTTTCTCCTTTATTCTAAGTGGGTTTTTTAAACAATTAATATGTAAGTAGATCTTTCAGTATTTGTTATATTTAGGTCTTTTGATACATGCAGTGTTTGGACCATTTTATACTTTTTATATATATCGAAACTTTAATATTTCCTGTATATGATGGCCTTGAAATAAACATTAACGTCTTTTGGCCTTTGGCTCTTATATCTGGGTGCTGTGTGCAAGCTGGGTGCTGTGTGCTAGGTGGGTGCTGTGTATTAGGTGGGTGCTGTGTGCTAGGTGGGTGCTCTGTGCTAGGTGGGTTCTGTGTGCTAGGTTGGTGCTGTATGCTAGATGGGTGCTGTGTGCTAGGTGGATGATGTGTGCTAGGTGGCCGAGTGGTTTATAATGAGACAATCCCAACTGACTGGAGTTCAATTCCCAGGAAAATCCCAGTCAAGCAAAAACAGCACAACCCCCCCCCCCCACCCAAAATTGGATGGGACTCGTTAACCTTGAATGACAACTCATCTAAGAGAAGACAAACTCTGAAATGAATCCCAGAGATGAAGTTCCGTAGGCGGTATGACATTGACAAAATTGAAAAGTCAGAGAGCACCTGCGATGTCAAACCCCAAAAGAGCTCAGTGAGACACACAAGACATGCAGCTGGTCGTCTACTGCATCCTGGTCTATATCCAGTCGTCTTGACTATGAAGTCTTGCCATTGGATCAAATAGGCAACTCTCAGGTCAAGGCCCCTACTCAAGTCAAGGCTACTCCTCAGGTCAAGGCCACTACTCAAGTCAAGGCCACTACTCAAGTCAAGGCTATGCCTCAGGTCAAGGCCACTACTAAAGTCAGGGCCACTACTAAATTCAGGGCCACTCCTCAAGTCAAGGCTACTACTCAAGTCAAGGCTACTCCTCAAGTCAAGGCTACTCCTCAAGTCAAGGCTATTCCTCATTCAAGGCTACTCCTCAAGTCAAGGCTACTCCTCAAGTCAAGGCTACTTCTCAATTCAAGGCTACTCCTCAAGTCGAGTTCTTGGTCATCTTTGCACGCGAAGGACAAACAAAATACTTCTCATGTATGTGGATCATCCCACACTACTACCCTCACCCCACACTACTACCCTCATCCCACACTACTACCCTCATCCCACACTACTACCCTCACCCCACACTACTACCCTCACCCCACACTACTACCCTCATCCCACACTACTACCCTCATCCCACACTACTACCCTCACCCCACACACACACACACTACTTAACATTTCCGCCTTACCTCAAAGAAAAAAACTATCACAAGGAGACAAACTCGAATATTAAATGGACAACCATTACAAAAAATATTAAAAATGCGAGGTCAGGGGTGAGTAGAAATTTGGGCATTAAATAAATGCAATTTCTCTCTCCACTTGTCACTCTAACACAATCATCTGCCTGCATCTCCCACCAAAGATCCTGGCCTGTAGGGAGGGGGGGGACCCGTCCCCCCCCCCCTCACTGACGCAAGACGCCGACCGCACGCGCTGGACACCGCTCTCTTGCGCTGAGGAGGGGTGGGGGAGCCCAACGGGGGGCTCGAGGCGGTCTTTGGATGAGCGGGCCTATGAAAACATCGGCTTGTCGTCGGATGACAGAGAGCTCTCAACCTGGCGTGGAGCACTCCATCAAGGCGGCACTTCGATGCAGGTGGTGTCACCGCTGTGCCCGCTGTAGTTGTGCCGCAGATTTCCACGGCACGTTCTGGTAGTGGTGCGCCAGACATGTTCACGCGATGATTTGAGCGAGCGATTCGTTGACAACTTCAGGGCATGCGCCTGGACACGCGAGCCGTAGTCAAAGAAGTGGATTCATAGATGTGGTTGAAATAGATGTTAGCGGCTTCAAACAAGTGGATTTGATCGGTGGTGTGTCTCTGTGTGTTTTATGTCTTTATATGACAACTTGAACATGTCATGTCATGTCATTATGTGCTGGCGGATTAACCTAATCGTTCGTGACAGTTGAAGACACATTTTCGAGATAATACCAGCTGTTGAGATGATGACAGTTGACTGATTTCATGTGGTGGAAAACAACCTTCTCCAAGAGAGTGTCTCCATCTTGGAATGTAAGAATTTCATTGAGTGTTGTTCCTGTTGTCTGTTTAAACAACGTTGTTAACTGTGTACAGGGGTCAGGGGGTCAGAGGTCAGGGGCCAGAAGATAAATATTTAGCTTTTAAGACACAATTTCAAACTAAACTTCGGCAGACAACACTCTTAATATTACAGAAGTACACTCTAAAAAATCTATCGTAAAAGAGTGATAGAACATGCTTACGGCTTGAGACTGAAATTATCGGATTTCATGAGAAATAATACTTAACATACTTAAACCTTTAGACATTACCCTAACCCTAACGTCTGGTGTTGAATAAATGAAATCTAGCAGGGATTTATTTTCTTATAAATAGTAAAAACTTGGGAGCATTCCAACATCACTCTTGGAACAGCGTAACTAGTAAGAAGATTTAACAATGAAGACTTTTGTTACGACTTCTTGCTTAGCAGAAGTCGAGGCTAGAAGTTCTCAAAGTTGTTTGAACATGTTTGAGAAGCACTTGTCTAAGTGCCTAGTTGAATAAATGTTTGAGAAGCACTAGTCTAAGTGCCTAGTTGAATAAATGTTTGAGAAGCACTTTTCTAAGTGCCTAGTTGAATAAATGTTTGAGAAGCACTTTTCTAAGTGCCTAGTTGAATAAATGTTTGAGAAGCACTAGTCTAAGAGCCTAGTTGAATAAATGTTTGAGAAGCACTTGTCTAAGTGCCTAGTTGAATAAATGTTTGAGAAGCACTAGTCTAAGTGCCTAGTTGAATAAATGTTTGAGCAGCACTTGTCTAAGTGCCTAATTGAATAATTGTTTGAGAAGCACTAGTCTAAGTGCCTAGTTGAATAAATGTTTGAGAAGCACTTGCCTAAGTGCCTAGTTGAATAAATGTTTGAGAAGCACTAGTCTAAGTGCCTAGTTGAATAAATGTTTGAGAAGCACTTGTCTAAGTGCCTAGTTGAATAAATGTTTGAGAAGCACTAGTCTAAGTGCCTAGTTAAATAAAATTTTGAGAAGCACTAGTCTAAGTGCCTAGTTGAATAAATTTTTGAGAAGCACTAGTCTAAGTGCCTAGTTGAATAAATGTTTGAGAAGCACTTTTCTAAGTGCCTAGTTGAATAAATGTTTGAGAAGCACTTGTCTAAGTGCCTAATTGAATAAATGTTTGAGAAGCACTAGTCTAAGTGCCCAGTTGAATAAATGTTTGAGAAGCACTTGTCTAAGTGCCTAAATGAATAAAATGTTTGAGAAGCACTTGTCCAAGTGCTTAATTGAATAAATGTTTGAGAAGCACTTGTCTAAGTGCCCAGTTGAATAAATGTTTGAGCAGCACTTGTCTAAGTGCCTAAATAAATAAATGTTTGAGAAGCACTTGTCTAAGTGCCTAGTTGAATAAATGTTTGAGCAGCACTTGTCTAAGTACCTAGTTGAATTCTTGTTTGAGAAGCACTAGTCTAAGTGCCTAGTTGAATAAATGTTTGAGAAGCACTTTTCTAAGTGCCTAGTTGAATAAATGTTTGAGAAGCACTTTTCTAAGTGCCTAATTGAATAATTTTTTGAGAAGCACTTGTCTAAGTGCCTAGTTGAATAAATGTTTGAGAAGCACTTTTCTAAGTGCCTAGTTGAATAAATGTTTGAGAAGCACTTGTCTAAGTGCCCAGTTGAATAAATGTTTGAGAAGCACTTTTCTAAGTGCCTAGTTGAATAAATGTTTGAGAAGCACTTATCTAAGTGCCCAGTTGAATAAATGTTTGAGAAGCACTTGTCTAAGTGCCTAGTTGAATAATTGCTTGAGAAGCACTTGTCTAAGTGCCTAATTGAATAAATGTTTGAGAAGCACTTGTCTAAGTGCCCAGTTGAATAAATGTTTGAGCAGCACTTGTCCAAGTACCCAGTTGAATAAATGTTTGAGAAGCACTTGTCTAAGTGCCTAGTTGAATAAATTTTGGAGAAGCACTTGTCTAAGTGCCTAGTTGAATAAATGTTTGAGAACCTTTGTCTAAGTGCCCAGTTGAATAAATGTTTTAGAACCTTTATCTAAGTGCCCAGTTGAATGTAAATTCCAAGTGCAGGTAATGAATGTTGGGCTGTCAATCAAAATAAGCGTTTTTGAATGTATCGACAAACACTTGGTCTTTTTTTGTGTATGTGTGTATATAATGTGTCCGCACCAACTTACTTTAGAATGTGTCCGCACTAACTTACTATAAAATGTATCTGCACCACATTACTATAGAATGTATCTGCACCAACTTACTATAAAATGTGTCTGCACCACATTACTATAGAATGTGTCTGCACCAACTTGCTATAAAATGTGTCTGCACCACATTACTATAGAATGTGTCTGCACCAACTTACTATAAAATGTGTCTGCACTTACTTACTATACAATGTGTCTGCACCACATTACTATAAAATGTGTCTGCACCACATTACTATAGAATGTGTCTGCACCAACTTACTATAAAATGTGTCTGCACCACATTACAATAGAATGTGTCTGCACCAACTTACTATAACATTTGTCTGCAGCACATTACTATAGAATGTGTCTGCACCAACTTACTATAAAATGTGTCTGCACCACATTACTATAAAATGTGTCTGCACCACATTACTATAGAATGTGTCTGCACCAACTTACTATAAAATGTGTCTGCACCACATTACTATAGAATGTGTCTGCACCACATTACTATAGAATGTGTCTGCACCACTTTACTATAGAATGTGTCTGCACCACATTACTATAAAATGTGTCTGCACCACATTACTATAAAATGTGTCTGCACCATATTACTATAGAATGTGTCTGCACCACATTACTATAGAATGTGTCTGCACCACATTACTATAGAATGTGTCTGCACAACATTACTATAGAATGTGTCTGCACCACATTACTATAGAATGTGTCTGCACCACATTACTATAAAATGTGTCTGCACCACATTACTATAGAATGTGTCTGCACCAACTTACTATCAAATGTGTCCGCACTAGACATTTTAAGGATACAAGTGTTCCTGGTGAGCTTATCGTGTATGTGTATAAAAGGAAGATATGTGCAACACGATAACAGATCATTATAATGAAACATGTTGACATAGAATATCATTATAGTGCAACAACTCTCATACACAAAGGTATAAATTTAATATATATATGGCTGAATTTAATAAGAGTTGACAACTAACTGATTGTACATAACTTAGCGTCTGTCAGTCATGTGTGCTAGTTAGGCTCCCATGTTGCAGTGAAGTGTGGAACAAATATAACAGTCATGAGTGGAATCCCAACAGCTTCCACCGAAGGTGTCTGCGTCGAATTGTTGGAATTCTATGGCAGGACAGGGTGCCAAACACAGATGTCTTGGAACTTTCACAAATGTCTAGCAGATTCTCAGCCCCCCCCCCCTACACCCTTTTATAAAATATAAATAATTTTTCATTTTTTTCCCTTAATGGTTTAAATTCTAGAACCTTAAATATTATTGTTGAATATAAATATAACGCATAAGGTATCCTACGTTAACAGATTTGATGCCGTCATAATTGACGGATCATTTACTAGTTAACTCTATTTGTGTAGACCAGACGCAATTGTTGTATCAAGCATCTACCGTTGTCCCGGCCTTTGTTTTCCCTATGCGTACATACATTTCCATTCCATTAAACCAAATCCATTTTGGCAATGAAAGATAATTGTCTTTGACGGTGGTAGCTGAACGTAGAGGACGACCAGCGTTCCCGTGACATTGGAGGATCCACAATGACGTAACGACCACAATTGACCCGGGTTGGAAGCCGTGGAATCATCGTGGAGCAAGCGAAGTCCGTAGGCGACTCTTATAAGATAAGCTAAGATATGATAAGATACGATTCTTTTATTGATTAAAAAGAAATTTGGTTTGTTTAGATTGTAGAAATTCTTTGTTAGCACATAAACTAAAAACACAGACTGTTATTGAAAAATTCATTGCTAGCATATAAACTATCATAACAATCACACATTGTATTCAAACCTATTGCAAAAATGAACCCCAAAATGCTTTGAATGCATTTGATGAGCATTGACGTCTCCGCCCGTGATTGATCACTCATGTGATGGTTACGCCAATGGGTCAACTTCTGGCGAAAACACGTTTCAAAAATACATTGGATTGTTTTCCGTCAAAACGTGTGGGTTAACCCAAAACTATGTCTGCACTATTTTGCGGTGGCTACGGTTCTTTTAAGAAATCATGGCATCCTATGTTCTGTATCATCCCTTGAAAAAAGTGGAAAAACTCCTTGTTTTTTTTTTTTTTGGCTTGGGGCTAAAATTTGATAGTTACTACCAAGTTTCAGCTGGATAGGCTGACGGGAAGTGGGCCAATTAGCCTTCCGAAGATGTTGTCACAAGGAAACACACATAAGCGAACTTAATTTAATGGATCTAAAAATAGAATTTAAGTTGGTTGGACCTCCGTTTTATTACTTTGGAATCATAACATTTCTTTTAAGTTGATCGATTGAATGATTGATTGAATGATTGATTAAATGATTGATTGAATGATTGATTGATTGAATGATTGATTGAATTCAAGACAGATTTCGGTTTTTTACTTGCCATTAATTAGTTCACAAAAATATTCAAACTTTGAATAATTGACTTTTCATTTTTTTTTTTTTTTTTGCGTGGATGGGTGTGGGTGGTGGTGCAGATGAGGGGTAGGGGGGGGGGGGGGGGGGGGGGACTGCGTCTCGAGAGCCAAACGGACATCTCTGATTCAACATCTGAATTGAGCCAATCAGGTCGGCATGAATTTGAACTCCTTAAATATTTGATCAAGTCACGTGAGCCGTCCAAAAAGATGTCACTTTGGATTTTATTTTTTCAATGGATGGATTGGGGTTGGGGGGCCAGGGGGTGGGGTGGGGGCGTTATATTCAATTGAACACAACATAGTTTAAAGAGGGCCTGTCACTAGAATGTTAAGAGACAGACACCAACATCTATATTTAACCTATAGAAAATGCAGGCTTGAGTGCCCCAACCCCCAGGGGTCGTCTAACAGGCAGGCTTGAGTGCCCCAACCCCCAGGGGTCGTCTAACAGGCAGGCTTGAGTGCCAAAACCCCCAGGGGTCGTCTAACAGGCAGGCTTGAGTGCCAAAACCCCAGGGGTCGTCTAACAGGCAGGCTTGAGTGCCAAAACCCCCACGGGTCGACTAACAGGCAGGCTTGAGTGCCAAAACCCCCAGGGGTCGACTAACAGGCAGGCTTGAGTGCCAAAATCCCCAGGGGTCGACTAACGGGTAGGCTTGAGTACCCCAACAACCTCCCCTCCCATACCCACCACAAAAAAAATAATAATAAAATAAAACAAATAAATAAAATCTCCTGGGGCGAAATTTCCTACCAGTGAGTTCCGGTATGGACGATGGTGGACTGTCTGCTTAAGTGCCAGGATAGAGTACTCTGTCATTAGGACCACGTGATGGGCGGTGGGCAGTTCGCTGACCCAACGCCAGGGAATTCGGCCATCGGTGGTTTTTATACTTGAATAATATTTCAGTGGCTCGCTGAGAGACGGACAGTCAATAACAGAGTGGAGTGGAGTTGTGGTGTAACGGTGTGGGGTGGGGTGGAAAGGTGGAGTGGGGTGTATCGGTGGAGTGGGGTGTATCGGTGGAGTGAGGTGTAAAGGTGGAGTGGGGTATATCTGAGGAGTGGGGTGTATATGTGAAGTGGGATGTAACTTTGGCGTGGTGGTGTAAATATGGAGACTTGATACGTTCTGGATAACTGTGACTTGAGGGTTGTCATTAACCGAATGAGGTATAACTATCGGATGTGATGTCCAATGTGACTTGAGGGTTGTCATTAACCGAATGAGGTATAACTATCGGATGTGATGTCCAAAATGTAACTAATTACGTGTTTTACTTCGGGAGGAAGGAAAGAGTGAGTGAGAGAGAGAGTGTGTGAGAGAGGGCAAGAAATAGAGAGTGAGGGAGGAAAAGAAAGAGAGAGTGAGAGAGGGAAAGAAAGAGAGAGTGAGAGGGGGAAAAAAGAGAGACTAAGGGAGGGTAATCAATACAATATTGTTTTGATCTCTGAGTTTCACGGCACATTTCTTTCTTCTGTTCCTCCAGACCACACGACGTCCTGGTCGTCTGTCTAGAGCTGCTACTGGATCTTAAGTGTGGACGACAGGCGCCACAGCTGGACACGGAGCATCTTGAGTCCCCACACACACCCGACAAGAGGCACGTGCTGTCCCCGCCCATGGGCAGCACCAGACTGGGACAGTACGAGATGCCAGAGGCGGAGAAAGCCCGCCTCAATGAGAGGATGTGTCTGCGAGCCAAGAAGGGATCCGAGGAGAAACTGTGTCTCATCAGGAGCAAGTTGGCTCTGACGCTCCTGACAAGACTGGTACGGCATGGGAGCAATGGGGATACAAGGGGGAATAGAGAAGGGGGGAGTAAACGAGGGAGAACGAGTGAGAGAGAGAGGGGGGATGGGAGAAAGAGACTGAGAGAAAGAGAGTGAGATAGATAGAATGAGAGAAAGTGAGACAGATATTGAGGGAGACAGAAAGAGAAAGGAGGGAGGTAGAGAAGGAATGGCGTGACACGAAAAGAAAGAGAGAGGAGGGAGGTAGAGAAGGGATGGCGTGACACGAAAAGAAAGAGAAAGGAGGGAGGTAGAGAAGGGATGGCGTGACATGAAAAGAAAGAGAAAGGAGGGAGGTAGAGAAGGGATGGCGTGACATGAAAAGAAAGAGAAAGGAGGGAGGTAGAGAAGGGATGGCGTGACACGAAAAGAAAGAGAGAGGAGAGAGGTAGAGAAGGGATGGCGTGACACGAAAAGAAAGAGAGAGGAGAGAGGTAGAGAAGGGATGGCGTGACACGAAAAGAAAGAGAAAGGAGGGAGGTAGAGAAGGGATGGCGTGACACGAAAAGAAAGAGAAAGGAGGGAGGTAGAGAAGGGATGGCGTGACACGAAAAGAAAGAGAGAGGAGGGAGGTAGAGAAGGGATGGCGTGACACGAAGACAAAGAGAGAGGAGGGAGGTAGAGAAGGGATGGCGTGACACGAAGACAAAGAGAAAGGAGGGAGGTAGAGAAGGGATGGCGTGACACGAAGAGAAAGAGAGAGGAGGGAGGTAGAGAAGGGATGGCGTGACACGAAAAGAAAGAGAGAGGAGAGAGGTAGAGAAGGGATGGCGTGACACGAAAAGAAAGAGAGAGTATAGGGGAAATATTTGAGATAAATAATTTAAAAAAACATTGTTTTCAAAGAATGACCATGCATTAACATTATTGTAACAATAGAACGATACAGAACAAAATACATTACTGTAACAATACAAAGTTACAGAACAAAATACATTACTGTAACAATACAAAGCTACATAACAAAATACATCACTGAAACAATACAAAGTTACAGAACAAAATACATTACTGTAACAATCTAAAGTTACAGAACAAAATACATTACTGTAACAATACAAAGTTACAGAACAAAATACATTACTGTAACAATACAAGTTACATAACAAAATACATTACTGTAACAATACAAAGTTACAGAACAAAATACATTACTGTAACAATACAAAGTTACAGAACAAAATAATTACTGTAAAAATACAAAGTTACAGAACAAAATACATTACTGTAACACTACAAAGGTACATAACAAAATACATTATCATATTCGTAAGTTAACAAGCACACACAAACATACTCCCAAACCAACAAAAAATACCACGCAAAAAAAAAAAAAAAGTTTTAAAAATTCTTTATGACCTCTTTTATTTAGGAAGTTTGGAAGAGGTAAGGGAAACTAGAGAGGGAAACTAGAGAGGGAAACTAGAGAGGGAAACTAGAGAGGGAAACTAGAGAGGGAAACTAGAGAGGGAAACTAGAGAGGGAAACTAGAGAGGGAAACTAGAGAGGGAAACTAGAGAGGGCCAGGGGAAACGGAAAGAGAAAGGGAGATAAACAAGGGGATAAATTAGGAGTGGGGTGAAGAGAACCATATGCAATAGTTTTATTGAATTACTAGTCTACATGACTGAGGTGTTGACTTATTAGTGGGGTGAAGAGAACCATATGCAATAGTTTTATTAAATTACAAGCCTACATGACTGAGGTGTTGACTTATGAGTGGGGTGAAAAGAACCATATACAATAGTTTTATTAAATTACTAGTATACATGACTGAGGTGTTGACTTATGAGTGGGTTGAAGAGAACCATATACAATAGTTTTATTGAATTACAACTCTACGTGACTGAGGTGTTGACTTATGAGTGGGTTGAAGAGAACCATATACAATGGTTTCATTGAATTAATAGTCTATATGACTGAGATGTTGACTTATCAGAAGATGACCAGAGCCTCATTCTCACCCAGCCCAGCCTCATGCCTTGACACTACTGGCAGCCCTCGGCCATTCCGTTGCCATATTTCTTGATCAGTCACACCTCACCCTATCTGTCTCTTTCACTCCCTATTTCTGACCAGAAAGACCCGGATGTTCCTAATACTAATGACTCAGCATCCGGCGGAGGAACCCTTTAACTTCCGGTGTTTAAATTGAGCAGAGTCAGAGTTTGGTCCCAAAATGGACTCCAAAAAAAGATACATTTTCATTGTTACCACTTGTAACCTTTGTCTCGTAACTTGTGACGTAACCAGAGAAAGAACATCAACAAAAGCAAATGAACTGAAATTTTAGTGCTACTGAAATTGTTTATGTACTGGACACGACAGTGCTCCTGAAAGTGGTGTCCTACTTATTCCCCTTATTTTTACCCCTACCCCTTTCCCTATTCCAAGACAGCTCTAAGACAGCTGTTAGACATCTGCAAGACTGAGTAGCACATTTTCTGTGTTTATTTGTTGTAAAAGGCTGGACATTGCAGCACATCTGAATAGAAAAACTAAAGTAACTATCAGCTACATAAGTTACAAAAAAATAATTAATTTATAATCACCACAGCAAAGACATAATTGAAAATAAACAATAGCTGCACCATACTTTATGTCAATCAACGCACCACAATTTTATGACCATCAAAACACCATAATTTTATGACAATCAACACACCATAATTTTATGACAATCATCGCACCATATTTGGGACTTAGGTTGGTACAACCCAGTGCGATAAACTCATGGTGTGTACATCATTCAGACTTCTATTTAGACCTCATCCAAGTCGTCCTGCTCTGATCACACCCTTCTCTGATTGCAACCTGCTCTGGTGCTGGTATCATACCCTGGTGGTGGTATCATACTCCGGTGGTGGTATCATACCCTGGTGGTGGTATCATACTCTGGTGGTGGTATCATACCCTGGTGGTGATATCATACCCTGGTGGTGGTATAATACTCTGGTGGTGGTATCATACCCTGGTGGTGGTATCATACCCTGGTGGTGCCACAATACTCTGGTGGTGCTATCATGCTCTGGTGGTGCTATCATACTCTGGTGTTGCTATCATACTCTGGTGGTGCTATCATACTCTGGTGGTGCTATCATACTCTGGTGGTGGTATCATACTCTGATGGTGCTATCATACTCTGGTGGTGCTATCATACTCTGGTGGTGCTATCATACTCTGGTGGTGCTATCATACTCTGGTGGTGCTATCATACTCTGGTGGTGCTATCATACTCTGGTGGTGCTATCATACTCTGGTGGTGGTATCATACTCTGGTGGTGGTATCATACTCTGGTGGTGGTATCATACTCTGGTGGTGGTATCATACTCTGGTGGTGGTATCATACTCTGGTGGTGGTATCATACTCTGGTGGTGCTATCATACTCTGGTGGTGCTATCATACTCTGGTGGTGCTATCATAGTCTGGTGGTGGTATCATATTCTGGTGGTGGTATCATACTCTGGTGGTGCTATCATACTCTGGTGCTGTTATCATACTCTGGTGGTGGTATCATACTCTGGTGGTGATATCATACTCTGGTGCTGGTATCATACTCTGGTGCTGGTATCATACTCTGGTGGTGGTATCATACTCTGGTGGTGCTATCATACTCTGGTGCTGGTATCATAATCTGGTGGTGGTATCATACTCTGGTGGTGCTATCATACTCTGGTGCTGGTATCATACTCTGGTGGTGGTATCATACTCTGGTGGTGCTATCATACTCTGGTGGTGCTATCATACTCTGGTGCTGGTATCATACTCTGGTGGTGGTATCATACTCTGGTGGTGGTATCATACTCTGGTGGTGGTATGATACTCTGGTGGTGCTATCATACTCTGGTGGTGCTATCATACTCTGGTGGTGCTATCATACTCATACTCTGGTGGTGGTATCATACTCTGGTGGTGGTATCATACTCTGGTGGTGGTATGATACTCTGGTGGTGCTATCATACTCTGGTGGTGCTATCATACTCTGGTGGTGCTATCATACTCTGGTGGTGGTATCATACTCCGGTGGTGGTATCATACTCTGGTGGTGCTATCATACTCTGGTGGTGCTATCATACTCTGGTGGTGCTATCATACTCTGGTGCTGGTATCATACTCTGGTGGTGGTATCATACTCTGGTGCTGGTATCATACTCTGGTGGTGCTATCATACTCTGGTGGTGATATCATACTCTGGTGCTGGTATCATACACTGGTGGTGCTATCACACTCTGGTGGTGCTATCATACTCCGGTGGTGCTATCATACTCTGGTGGTGCTATCATACTCCGGTGGTGGTATCATACTCTGGTGGTGGTATCATACTCTGGTGGTGGTATCATACCCTGGTGGTGCTATAATACTCTGATGGTGCTATCATTCTCTGGTGGTGGTATCATACTCTGATGGTGCTATCATTCTCTGGTGGTGGTATCATACTCTGATGGTACTATCATTCTCTGGTGTTGGTATCATACTCTGATGGTGCTATCATTCTCTGGTGGTGCTGTAATACTCTGATGGTGCTATCATTCTCTGGTGGTGGTATCATACCCTGGTGGTGCTATAATACTCTGATGGTGCTATCATTCTCTGGTGGTGGTATCATACTCTGGTGGTGGTATCATACTCTGATGGTGCTATCATTCTCTGGTGGTGGTATCATACTCTGGTGGTGGTATCATACTCTGGTGGTGGTATCATACTCTGGTTGTGGTATCATACTCTGGTGGTGGTATCGTACTCTGGTGGTGGTATCATACTCTGGTGGTGGTATCATACTCTGATGGTGCTATCATTCTCTGGTGGTGCTATCATACTCTGGTGGTGGTATCATACTCTGGTGGTGCTATCATACTCTGGCGGTGCTATCATACTCTGGTGGTGGTATCATACTCTGGTGGTGGTATCATACTCTGGTGGTGGTATCATACTCTGGTGGTGGTATCATACTCTGGTGGTGGTATGATACTCTGGTGGTGCTATCATACTCTGGTG